CTACACTCTGGAAACTATTAGAAAACGTAACTAAGAATTGAGACATTTCACATAAAAATCTGGATTTCTGACTTCTGCTGAAAATTGGGGTATCTGGCACAGAGGTGCTGCAGTCAGGTTAAGCTGGGCCAGCCAGCCTGCCTTCTAGATGGGCTTGTATATTACAGGTGGCCACAGTTCCCACTCTCCCCTGCTGTGTTTCTGACATTGTAACTGTGTTCCAGTTGCTGTTTAATGTACTTGTGTTGTCTGTCAAATATAGGAAAACAAGATGGCCAGATAGGGCCACGTGGTTTTTCATGTTCCTTGCTTACTAGATTCACCCATCTTACTGTCTGGACTCCATGGGTTTATGGCTTGAGGAACCCTGCTTCCTCTCCTCCCTTACCTTTCCAGACCTGTTTCTGCTTCTAAGCTAGCTGGCCTCTGTTTCTCTATCAGCAAATACGAGGGGTTGAGTCATGGATGATTGTATTGAGTGCCACTTAGTGCCAAGTTTTATGCTATGTGCATTACTTACACATTTTGGAATCCTTAAGACGCCCCTTGGTGTCTTATCATGCCCATTTACAGATGGGGAAACTGAGGCTCAGAGTGTAGCAAGCTACTTGAGGACTCACAGCCAGAACGTGGAGCAAGGTCCATGCCTTGCTTTAGGGTCTCTGGAGTGCTCGCCAGCTCTGATGGGCTTGGGCTCTACTTGGAATCTCTTCTCCCAGCTTCCTATCACCCTCACTTCCCTGGCAACCAGCACTCTGGTCCAGGCCACTGTATCTCTTGCATGGACAACTACATCAGCCTTCTCCTGGACCTCCTTACAGTCTCTCTCTCTCGTTGGAGTCTTATTCTGTCTCCCAGGCTGGAGTGCAGTGGCATGCTCACGGCCACCGCAGCCTCGACCTGCTGGGCTCAGGTAATCCTTCCACCTCAGGCTTCCAAAGTAGCTGGAGCCACAGGGAGTGCTACCACACCCAGCTAATTTTTTTATTTATTGTAGAGACAAGATCTTGCCATGTTGCTCAGGCTGGTCTTGAACTCCTGAGCTCAGGTAATCCTCTTGCCTCCACCTCCCAAAGTGCTGGGATTACAGATGTGAGCCACCACACCCGACTACAGTCTCTCTTGAGAGCAGCTCAAAGGATCTTTCTAGAGCCTGAATCAGATTTCGCTACTTTCCTGTTTAATATCCCCAGTGGTTTCCCTGTGGATTTCCAGGCTCCTTGTGATGTGGCCCCTGTCTACTCTTCAACGTTGTCTTCCACCACTCTTTCTTCTTCTACCTTCACTCCAGCCACACCTGCCTTCTTGGTGCTTTTCCATCATATAAGCTGATTCCTGCCTCAGGGCCCTTACACTCACTGTTTCCTTTGTCTAGAATGCTCTTTACAGACTCGTATGGTGGGTGGGCTGACTCCCTCTATCCACCTTTGTCCAGAAGTCTTTTCCTCAGAGAGGCTTTCCTTGGCCAATCTGTCTAAAACAGGCCCCACCCCGTTATTCTCTAGTTCCTTATACTGTTTTATTTTTATTCATCACCCTTGACATTATATTAGACATTTGTCTATTGTCTCTTGACCTCATTAGGAACAAAAGACCCACAAAGGCAAGGGCATCTGTGGGCTTCATCCACTGGTGTCTGTCTAGAGTGCCTCGAACTTCTAGGAACTGGCCATCACTATCTGTTGAACGCACAACAGCACTGTGAGAGAACAACGCCCACTTTACCCATCCCCTCCTCCCACCCGGAGTCCGAGGGTAAGTCTTCCTAGTGAGAATCTGCTGTACAGGCTGAGAAGTGGCTGACCCAGAGTCCTGGGAAGTGATGTCTGATGTAAAGAGCACCTTTGGCGGAAGAGGGAGCAGGGCATATCTGGGACAGATGACTGAAGCGGTGGCTTGCAAGTCTTGGTTGACAGAGCAGGTGTTCCTGTGGCTCCGGAGAACTGGTTGGACCAGTTTTGTCTCCCTTGAGAGGGAGGAATGAAGGTGGCAGCTACAGCTGCTCACAACCCCCTCGTTGCCAGCAAGTGTCCCCCTTCCAAGCCTTTCAGGGCCCGAAGGGTGGTGATCAGGGAGAGTATTAGACACTACCTCAAGAATGGGGATGAGTGCCTACCTGCTGAGGTGTACTTATACACAGAACCCTGCAGCCAAAGGCCAAGGCTCAACTTCAGGGCTGCGGGCCCTTTGTTGAATCAGAATAAACTGAGGCCCAGAGAGGGAAAAGGTCTTGTCTAATGTCTTTTATTTTTTCTTCTGAATCGGAGTCTCACTGTTGCCCAGGCTGGAGTGCAGTGACATGTTCATGGCCACCATAGCCCTGACCTGCTGGGCTCAGGTGATCCTTCTGCCTCAGCCTTCCAAGTAGCTGGAACCACAGGCATGTGCCACCATACCTCGTTAATTTTTTGATTTATTGTAGAGACAAGGTCTCACCATGTTGCCCAGGCTGGTCTTGAACCCATGGGCTCAGGCAATCCTCTCGTCTCTGCCTCTCAAAGTGCTGGGATTACAGACGTGAGCCACCACGCCCAGTGTCCAAGGTCTTATCGTGGCAAAGCTGCCTCCCAGGTCATGCTGTGTCAGTCCATTCATTTACCCATTCATTTATTCATCTTACACATCACTGGCACACCTACATGCCAGGCAAAGTTCCAGGCATTGATAATGTTACCGACAGGAAGCTTGGCTACTTGTCGATTATAAGCTGGGATAAACAAGCACAAGATGTAGTGAAAGGGAGGTGATTTTATTCCAAAAGCCAGCAGTTGGGAAAATGGCCAGGCTTATGCCTCAAAGAAAAAAAAAAGGGCCTTTTAGGCTGAGGATAGGGGATTTTAAAGGGAAAGAATGGAATGAGAAGTATCTGGGAGTGGCACAGGGAGCTGGTCTTGCTTCCGTGTTTGTCTTAAATTGTTGTCCGCCTGGAGAGCTATCTGATACCTTTCCGATTATGGCCAGTTTGTAGTTTTTTTTTCCTGAGTTGGAGTCTCACTTCGTCCCCCAGGCTGGAATGCAGTGGCACGCTCATGGCCACCGCAGCCTCAGCCTGCTGGGCTCAGGCGATCCTTCCGCCTCAGCCTTCCAAGTAGCTGGAACTACAAACGCATGCCACCACTAGCTTGGCTAGTTTGTGTGATTTACTGTAGAGATGAGGTCTCACCAAGTTGCCCAGGCTGGTCTCAAACCCCCGGGCTCAGGCAGTCCTCTTGCCTTGGCTTCCCAAAGTGTTGGGATTACAGGCTGAGTCACTGCACCTGGCCCAGTTTGTAGCTTAATCACCTTAAAGTGACTTCTGAACAATGGTCAATTCTGCTGTGGAGTCCCCATGCTCTGTTAGTCCAGAGTCAGCCTCTGAAATTTCTCAAGCAAATACACAATTTGATTAATGGGTATGTGCTCATTTTATGAGGGCAAGCCAAGAGTAAAAGAAAGGGAAAAAAAGTCTTTAAAATGTAGGCTAAGAGAGAAAAAGGCTTAAAACCATTTCTCAAAAGCTGAAATAGAAACTCTCAGTTAGAATGATACGTTGTGAGCAAAATAATGATCTGCGGAGATTTCTTGTGGAGGAAGCAGATGAACAACAAACAAAGCAAGTAAATGATATATGTTGGAAGGTGATCGTATTGCAGAGAAATGAAAAAAAAAAAGAGGTGAGTAGAGCTTCTGGAGTTGGGTGTGGGGGCTAGTGTATTTGAGGAACTGCAGAGTTGCCAGTGTGACTGGAGTGAGGCGTCAGGAGGAGGGCAGGGTGGGGACAGGAGGATCATGACACATCTTGTAGGGACTTGAGGACTTTGGCTTTTACTCTGAGGGACATGGAGAGCCATGAGGTAATTGTGAGCAGTCCAGTGACTGGATCTGACACATATTTTTTAAAGGACTCCCATGGTTGCATGTAGAGAATGAGCTGGAAGGGGAAGGATGGAGGTGGAAAGACTAACGAGGAAGTGTGTTAGGTTTCTATTGCTGCTGTAACAAAGTACCACAAACTCAGTGGCTTAAACCAACACAAATTTATTATCTTGCAGTTCTGGAGATTAGAGTCTGATATTCTCACTGGACTAAAGTAAAATGCTTGGCTGTATTCCTTCTGGAGCACATAGAACATGGGAGAATCTTGTTCCACTGCCTTTTCCAGTTTCTAGAAGCTACTGGCATTCCTTGGCTTGTAGCTAGTTTCGCTATTCCAGGCAGAAAGGTAGCATCTTGCAGTCTCTGAGGAGTCTGACCCTCCTGGTTCCTTCCTGGGATTACATTGGGCCCAGCTGGCTAATCCAGGATCATCTCCCCATCTCAAAGTCCTTAACTTCATACCATCAGCAAAGTCTGGGTATAGTCTAGGGATTAGGGCACGGACATCTCTGGGAGCCATGATTCTCCTACCACACTAATTGAGGATCATAGAGTAGTGGGTTAAACTAGCATGGTGGCATGTGCTTGTAGTCCCAGCTACTCGGGAGACTGAAGTGGGAGAATTGCTTGAACCCAGGAGTTCAAGGTTGTAGGCTGTAGTGAGCTATGATTACATCATTGTACTCCAGCCTGGGCAGCAGAGTGAAATCCTGTCTCTAAAATAAACAAACAAAAAATAAAATAAATATTGTTTTGATAATTCAGTGTCTCTTGCAATTCCATGAGTTTTAGGAAGTGTCCATTTGTTAAAATAAGATGTAGCTCAGATTTTGATAGAGTTGCACTGAATCTGTAGATCAATTTGGAGAGTGTTGCTGTCTTAATATTAAGTCCTTCAACTCATTACGTGGAATGTTTCCCATTTACTTAGGTCTTCCTTAATTTCTTTTGACAGGTTTTGTACTTTTCAAAGTACAAGTCTTCCCTTTCCTTGGTTAAATTTATTCCTAAGTATCTTATTATTTTTCATGCTACTGTAAATAGAAATGTTTTCTTTCTTTTTTTGGCTGAGTACAGGGGACTTTATTGATGGTACATGATGAGGTGGGGCTCCCTAGGTTCCCCCCAATTCTTCGGGAGTCCTGGCATGGACACTGTGAGAAAGGGAGACTCTTGGTGTGGCTGGGGACTGAGTTTGGCAGGGACTCCTCAGCAGCTGAGGGCTTCTCTTCCTCTCATGCTCTTGCTGGGGCTGGTGGTCAAGGGTTGTTAGTCCTTGGAGACCATGTGGACCAGGGGGTCCACCACCCTGTTGCTGTAGCCAAATTCATTGTACCAAGAGATAAGCTTGACAAAGTGGTTGTTGAGGACTATGCCAGCCTCAGAATCAAAGGTGGAAGAGTGGGTGTTACTGTTAAAGTTGGAGGAAACAATGTGGAGCTCACTGTAGCCTAGGATGCCCTTGAGGGGGCCCTCAGATGCCTGCTCCGCCACCTTCTTGATGTCATCATATTTGGCGGGTATCTCCAGACGGCAGGTCAGGTCCACGATCAACACATTGACGGTGGGGACACGGAAGGCCATGCCTGTGAGCTTCCTGTTCAACTCAGAGATGACCTTGCCCGCAGCCTTGGCAGTGCAGGTATGCAGGGATGATGTTCTGGAGGGTCCTGCTACAGCTTCGCAGAGGGGCCATCCACAGTCTTCTGGGTGGCAGTGATGGCATGGAAGGTGGTCATCAGTCCCTCCACGATGCCAAGGTTGTCGTGGATGACCTTGGCTGGGGGGCTAAGCAGTTCGTGGTGCAGAAGGTGTTGCTGACAATCATGAGGTTGTTCTGGTACTTCTCGTGGTTCACCCCCATCACAAACGTGGGGATGTCGGGAGCGGGGAGATGATGACCCTTTGGCTCTCCCCATAAGTGAGTTCCAGTCTTCTCTAAGGTAGTGAAGACACCGGTGGATTCCACCACGCAATCAGCCCCAGCATTGCCCCATTTGATTTTGGTAGGATTTTGCTTCTGGAAGATAGTGGTGGGATTTCCCTTGATGACAAGCTTCCTATTCTCAGCCTTGATGGTGCCATGGAACTTGCCATGGGTGGAGTTATACTGGAACATGTACACCATGTAGTTGAGGTCAATGAAGGGGTTGTTGATGGCAACACTATCCACTTTGCCAGAGTTAAAAGCAGTCCTGGTGACCAGGCGCCCAGTATGGCCAAATCCATTCTCTTGGGCCTTCACTTTCACCATGGTGTCTTGAGGATGCAGCTGGTGCTGCACAAGAGATATGGCTGTCTGTCAAATGGGAGGAGCAGAGAGCCAGAAATGTTTTCTTTTCTTTTTTTTTTTTTTGAGTTGGAGTCTCACTCTGTCGCCCAGACTGGAGTGCAGTGGA